ACATCTTTACAACAGTAAAATGTAAAATAACAGTAAAACTAAAGGGCATAATATCAGTGTACGCACTGCCTCGACAGTGCATATATATAAAAATCCAAAATAAAGCTCATCCAAACAACAGATTTGTCCCAATAGCAAAATATTGTAAGTTGTTGAAATATAAAGTGAAGGTTATGTTTTTCCAGCTGAAGATATATTGAATTATATCTCGTTGTCCTGAATGCTGGCACAGTTTTTAATAACAGGAAATAACATTGTATTGTGACTCACATCACGTAGAGATGGCAAAACACTTTCACTTGGTTCATGGCCGGATAATTCTTAAAGAGTTTGGAATAGTCTATAGCTCCTTATTAATCATGATCAAGAATTTAACAGGCAGTTGCTTGGCTTAAAATACGTCCTAGTGGGAGGTAGCTCAAACCAGTGGTCCTAACAGAGCTCAAATGGGAAGAGTCAAAACGGGACGAAACCATTCATTATGAGGTTTACAACAATCCGCACATCCCTTTTCAGAACTAATGGGGTACTAATGTTATTTTGGTACTATTATTACTAATCGTAACCCCCAATTGATATAATAGTAAGAGACGCAATAATTCAGTATATGGTGAGAAGATTACGGGAGTATTGCCATATTGTCCATACCTTCTTCCGGAACCACAAATTAATATTCCTATTTTAGTATTTCTAGTGCTAACTCTTACACCAATTGGAAATAAAGTAGATCTAAGAGACGCAATAAGGCAACGGCAGATGGTAATTATATCACGGGAGTATTATATCTAGAACTGGTATTCTCATCACAGGTTAAAAACTACCTGGTATTTTTGTCGGTATATTATAATTAAATCTGTTCAGGTTAATTACTTTATTACTGTAAAAACTAGTTGACAGTTGAGGTGAAGTTATTAGATATCTCAGTCATTTGAGGTGAAATGGAGTTTTAAGTGCTACCTTTCGTCCATGTGTAAATTCTGCACTACTGCTGCAGAAATAAATTTTACTATATTAAGAAATGGCGTGGTTGTACCCTTAGTTTGAACGCCTTGTTTTCGAAGTATGTTGAATAACTGTGGAGAATCTGTTACAGAAAGTATCATATTAAATAACAAATCACTTATCACTCTGAGTGAAAATCAGATCTGAAACTATCATCTTTCTTTTTTTATACTTTAACTTCGTTATTTTAGCTTTATAACCCATTACTGTCTATCTTTAACTTTTTTCACCTATGTATAGTACGAATATTAATAGGCTCTTAATGAGGTTTAGGTACAACACAATTGGTTTTGTCATTTTAGGTGATTTATTAGTAATTTTCAGAGTATAATCTCAGTAATAGAATATATGAATTGTTCATGATATACCTTTAATGTTTTTAGATTATATTATTTAAACATCAGCATCCTTAAGGTAACTGTTAGATAGCATCTTTGAACTGATACTTAAACAAAAGCAATTATCATTTGATGTATGTTTTTCTTACATATATTTCGGTTTATAGCAATTTCTTTGATAATATATCAACGCACTTCATAAACTTGCAGACTCTTTGTTCGTCTTCAACCTTTACTTTGATATATTCTTTTTTGTTTTGAACGAAACAAACAATTAAAAATTGATTCACATACAGTACAAGTTAAAGTTTATCATTGGATAATAGTATCCATGCTTACATTACAAGCTTCATGCAATATATCAAAACTTGCATATTGTTCTAATCTTATTTTAGTCGCTGTCTCCTCTTGTGAGTCACTTGAAGATCATGAGGATCATTAATGCTTGAAGATAGCTTTAGTCATTTCTGTCGAGATCGAACCAAGTTAAACAAACACATATGCAAAAGTGAATTGTTTTAGTTTTAATTTTACCAGTTTAGCATCATATTAAATATGAACCCAAAATATGAACTTTAACCACTTTAATTGTAAAAAACATCACAGTACCTAAAAAATACATACTTAAATATCATCACTTCAGTACGATACAAAAAATGTGAACCGCTTAAAAATCCTGTCAGTACTAATCTGTAGGTGTTGAAATAAGACCACTATTTGACTCGAAACCTGCCTTGGTGAAGATTAACGAGCTGTGAAGCTGTTTTCTGTTACATTATCTATCTACCTGGTAGCCTCTTAACCTACTAACTTCCATCTCAGATATATTTCTTGATAAACTCATTTCTAAAATAGCCCTATCTTCTTTCTGATAAAATACTGTTCTTTGTCATTAAAGAAGTCAATAGTACCAACCTTGATGATCATGAAATAATGTATTCAGCTATCTGCTCGAAAACGTTAATTTGTTGCTTGAATTGACTAGAATATGCAGTCCTATATTCAGTTCGTCAAATCCACGGGTTGCAATAGAAAGCTGAACATAACGTCAATCGTTATCGGTTTGTTACTACAGTTCCTGGCTCTAGTTTCTAAAAGCTTACATACAAGTCTTTTAAGATACAGTCCAGATTTGTACGAGAAGCGAATTTCCTACCCCTCTGATGTTTTGTCACCTTGTGGGGCACAGGGACATTGTAGATTTCCGGTAATACATTCATTGGTACAACTTTGCATAGACACCAAAACAGGAGTTTGGCGTTTTGTAAGGTGAAAAGTAGCTACTCAAAAGTTCCCACAAAAAGTGAGATTTTGTCTGGCCCAAAATATATCGACATACCGATATCACATCCGTATAACGCTCACGTCCTAGGAACAGATTTTTCGAGCTACAGACAAATAAGAATTGACAAAGATATGACTCAGATTTGCCGAAGCTATATGGTTATATATCAAAGGAAATAATGCAGTATACGTGTCAGGAGATCTGATTGCACCAATATTTGTTAAAGCTGGGTTGTTATTTTCATTGAATTAGTTTTCAGTTTCAATTCCTCTGGCTTGTTTTATTTTTATAAGAGTTATATCTTCTATTTAAAGTCTCCCCAGAATTGATACAGTATAAATATTTCAAGTGCTACTGGTATCAATTATGAGTCATTGTGATATTTTGATACATCATGTCGAAATACCTTTTAGTTTCAGAAAAAATAATACATCATAGAACTCATATATTGTTGATTCGAACTGGTTAAAATTTCAAAAGCACTTCAATCACGGTCACTGATCACTTGCAAAATAATTATTTACATGTAGTGAGTAAGACCATAAATATAGGTTTATAAATGGAGTTTTAAAGAAAACTGTGACCCCTGATTGGTCTGTTACCGTATACATAGAGGGTCACTCGTAAGGTTATGGGCATCACCCGTTCTTTGCTTTAATCGTGCGCTGGCTTGGGCACATGATTTCTCATTTTAATATTCCCCATTTGAATGCCTTGGGGCTTTTATATCAGCCCCAAAATCTATTAAATAATGCACCTAAAGTTTATAGTTTATTATCGTGTCACAATTAAAACAAACTAACAAATCGTTGATGATATCCAGAATGAAAATAAATTTTAGAATGATTCACCTTTCAAATAGAAACACGTTTATCGTTTTCACCTGTCGAAATTGCTTATATATTTACATACAGAGTTATCACCCTTTGATCAGAGAGCTACCGTATTATCAGCAAGAAGTTTATTTATTTTTAACAATATATAATATAGGTGAAACGTATGGTTAACGTTCCGGTAATTTACTTTCATTTCATCATTCCATCCATCAACTGACTGCCTGTTGTTCTAAATGAGAAAGTAGGTTTATAGGTGTGACTTGAAATAGAATATTATATAACTCTTCTCAATTACTCTCAACAAGGAGTTTTTATTGGGGGTTACTCAATCAAAGTCAGATGCTTTAAAAACTTTAAAATTCTTATGTTAAATATCACTGTTACATTATATGCCATGTTGAGTTAACTATTCAGAATGTCAGAAAGTTATAGATTTAGTAGGAGCTTATTTACAAACATGTAAAACGAATTCGTTATAAAGCAATATAAAATATCTGAATAGAAATGCAACGATATGCCATTAACCATATAGACATTAGACACGTGTTTATTAATTTCTTATCGCCACTTTTTATTTTTCTCTTGGAATATTTAGTTCTCTTATTGCAGAAAATCTGACACGATTTTGTCTTTCGTGGAACAGAACGAATACTATGACATTAGGGGGGCATACATGAGACAATTCAAAACTGAACTAATAAAACGCTCTGTACTGCCTCTTATTCTTACTTTAGGGGATGTTGATCGGACAGGTCTTGTAAAGTTTGTATAATATATTATGCACCCTGTGAACTATTGATTGTTTATAACATACTTCAAGATAAATCATTACTTACTTGATAATTTCGTATTGTTTGGAATGGAGAAATCTGGTTCGAGTTGAATTGTGCAGAATTGTACATTGTAAACATAGACATATCCTTTTACACGGACAGCATTGCCAGTCTTATCGTATTTAGATGAATAACACATTTCAATAAATATACAATTAACATGCAATTGGCTCGAGATACATCGAATATCTTACACACTCTTGTTTAAAGAGATAGACGAAAATGAAATATATTTAAACAATATGGCATACGTTTTTGAATAATGCCATTTAAAGTATTCTGAATGGCAAAAGGGCCTCGAAACTACTCAATTTTAATTGATTTAACTGAATTATCAATTGTGTCCGAAGAAAGAACCAGCCCCAAAAGGCTATTCGTCCCTGTATCTTTCTATTTTTGTTACACATATATATATGTATATGATAGATGTCTTGTGTCTTTGTCGTTAATTTCGTAATATGTGTGATAATGGCTTGTATTCAGGGAGCTTCTCTGTTTCGCCAGTATAGTCATTTAAAGTAATCTTGTTTGATGTTGATTCTATTTTTTAAGATTTGACTAGCGAATCATTAAATTCTGTTTGTATATAAATGTAAATGACAGTAATAAAATTTAAACGGAAATTGTAACTATTACAATATTACATTTAATTAAACAAATTAAAATTGTTTGGCGTGTTTTCAATTTCCTTTGTTTAAAATTTGAAATGTTTAGATCAAATATTAGGAATAGTTTCACACTTCAAGGTCAGTCTGATCAATTGCTACACCCCACCAACTCCTGCTGTAACTGTTCCTCACCAACTGTTCACTTAACATTGTTGCTACAACGACTTTTGCATGGATATTCTAACATAATATATTCTAATATTCTATATATGGTACCAGTTTACCTTAGCATAATAACCAAGTTCCCCTCTATCTTGAAATAAAAATTGTCTCATACAATCATGTTTTTTAAAGCCTCGTTTCAGCTAAATTGAAAACTAAAACAATCAGTGTGTATACAATATACAGGCCATCTACATATCAACTTTTAAATCTTCTAATTTCAGATATGATGGACCCATTGATGGACAGTTTATTAGACACCCAGTGGAAACTGGTAACAACAGAGACCAGAGGCGATGGTAATATATGGATAGTTTATTTCTTTAAAACTTGTATGCTGTAAGGTCATCGTAGTTAAGAAACCGTTCTATTTGGACATCCAAGCTCGCATAGAAATAGATCATTTACTTAAGGAAAACAAATTCAAATGCATATATCGATTGAAGAAATGAGATCTTCAACACAGCAGAATGTTAAGAATGATACAACATCCTAAATAGGTAGCCAAGGACTCAGATATGACTTGATGAACATGAAATTTGGCCGCACTTTTTGATATTGCTAGATCTATACATGGCAGTACGAGATGCAATTACATGATCTATCAGGGAAGAATGCTTGTCTGCTTGTAAACATTCACAGAATAGGTTAACTATCCATTCCAGGTTTCAAAGAATACAAGTTAATGAGACAACATGCACCAGAAGGTAAAAATGGATTCCGATATTTAATACAAGAGGAGGATAACGACCCACAACGTGTTATTATGTTGGGATGTAAGGAAGGTCACGATCCACTCAAAGATATTGGTACATGCGAACTCAAGCTTAATGGAGATGGCAAGGAAATCATTGGAGTTGATTTAGACGGTGATGCTGCTGTAAAAATAGCGTAAAATTATCATATTCATTTTATAGTAGTCCTAACATTCTTTGCAAAATAATTAAAATAGATACACTGAAAAAATATCACACTGCTTTTATGATGATGTGATAAACCACAGACACAGAACATATTTCATTTAGATTGATTTACTCAAATGTTTAAACAATCCTTGAACCAAAGCGTATGTCGATCCTTCAACTCTACCGATCGGCTTACATCCACGCTCTATGATCTATCAATTGATACCTTGACCGTGGCCAATGACACATGGTTCAGTCAGTCATAATGAACAAGTAGTGTAAGAGAAACTTACCGTCTCGATTCACTCCAAGAAACTGGAGCAGTTCTGGAGAATTCGGACGCTCTGAAATTGCATGTTCCACACACGCCTACCTCTAGATTAATAGGCAGATCAACATGTTGAATTTACCACTTTCATTTTTATAAATCAACAATCATGCATATGTTGTTAAATCACACACTGTTATAAACCATATCTAACTTTTAATATGCACTGAACATATAATTTAGAGTTTACAAATGGAATAAAACCTTGCTTAATTTGGGAATGTTATATTAGATCAGTTTCGATTAGACTCAATATGTCAAATTGTACATAAAAACTTATTTATTTACTGTAAATGCCCCCCCCCCCCCACCTCCCCCTGTCATTATGTATATAATAATTAGTCACTATGAATGATGTGAGTGTGTTTTATACTGTCACCTATCCCCTGTCACTAACCTGGTAGTAGTGTCACATTAGCTACCTTTCCATTCCAATCCTCATTTCCCATAATAAAATCTGTGAATTATAACGTTGTATTTATTATACATGCATAAGAAATCCTCGCCAGTTTTATGCACCTTATTCATTCTACGATTGAGAAGACCTCAGCATTTTCAGTTTGTTGTCAGAAGTGAGCTAGGGTCGACAAGCGATCATGTTGTCGGATCCATCCAAGTCGACATTTAAATCGAGATATTGTCCCAAAATCTAAAAAGAAAGCAACAGAAACAACTATATTTTACAAGGATGACAACTTAAGTGGTCCTAGGCTGAACCTCTTGTTATTGATCTTTCTCGGATTATCCGTACCCATTTACAGCTTGTTTGAATGAAAAACATGAGGAAAAACTAATTCAACCACATTAGGGGTGTACAATATTGATTAATTCCAACATTACTCGAAGGCCAATCCAATGTGAGACATGAAAGGACTTTCTTATAAACGATATTATTTATCACAGTTTTATGACCAATATTGTTTGATTATAATTGATTTAAGGGGAGGTAAGTCGACTGATGATGGCCATAAAACCAGCTTCAAACCACTCTACTTGACATAAAGTAGTCGAATGAAGGGTTCTACCAAACATGTGTCGTATAGTAGCGTATCACTACACTACATAAATTAAAGTCAAGTAGATTTAAATGGGCCATTGTTAACTGGACTCGAGTGCTATATTTGAGATAACACGAATAATTTTTGAAAACATTTTAGTTTATAAAAATACGATGAAAGGAAAGGGAGCTATTGACTTAAGTCCTCCTATCTGTTGTACAGTTGATTAAACACAGTTATATTCATTTAATATATCAGATCAGAGGGAATGGTATGAGGGGGACTGGCCCTGGTGGAGAAGTACGCATGGCGCTGTGGCACTAAAGCTAAAATGAATGGGCGGTGTTTCGCCTCTAAACAAGGTAGCTGCCATTGACCGGTAGACTGGTTTGATTGAAGATAGCTTTAGCTGATAAAGGTTAATCAGATACAGTGGAACGGAAACCTCCAGTAAAATGATTGACAAGTAGATATTTTATCACACGCTTATCATCCTATACTCACTCTTTATATTGTAATAGTACACGTGTCATATAATAAAATTGAAAATAATACTGACTCCGCAACCAGTATCGTCCAAGAAATAGAACAAATTGAATAGCAGATGAAAAGATCTGGATTTTTATATATAAAACATTAACCAGATCTAACAGCTTCATCACAGCAAGCATCATTTGCTGATGTTAAATTACATCTAGACGACACTAATGAGGAAGCAGTACAGCAGTGTCAATTTTTCAATGGAAATTTCCATAAGGAGAGATTGTACTTCAAAATTACAAAACTTTTTTATTTATCAACATAAGATTCTACTACTGTCACTTTTTGAAGCAGATATTTCAATTCATGTTTAAAATAACAATATTAAACATTCGATTGCCGACGAAGGGGCGAAGATTAATGTTATCATCTACGTGTTAAGAATTATTAGCAAATAAAACCAATGACCCATAATTGTTAATATAAATAGTTTTATAAACGCCAAGAGCGCAAATAATAGAATTTGCACACGGTCCAAGCAAGGCGACCTGTTTGTTTTGAAGTTTAGAATTACAAAGTTGACTCAGCTTTTGTCCCCAATCTTACATTCTGCACAATGTCACTCTTATGTGATACTCGATACAAATTAATGATGTTGAAATAATCACGTAACGGACGATAAATATTTAAAGGTTAAGTGTGTTCTCCCAGTGGCCTTTCTAGAAGCAGTTAGTTAGGAACAGCACTTGGGGCTTCAAAATTGGCAGGGTAAAGTACACTAGGCATTTAAGAACTCAATTATAAAAAATGTATACGCCACTGTGTATAAAACAGGAATTAAGATGTCCCCGAAAAGCCAAAAATATATTAATATTTGTTACTTCTATTGTGAAAAGAATTTGTGGGTTTTTGTTTTCATTATGAATAATCCTAAATTTATTATCTTCTATAAGTTTAATTTTAAACTAGACAGTCACAATTTCATATTTGTATTCATCACAACACTTCAATTATAATTTGCCTTTAGATTTGGAGATAATGTATACGAAGTTTATCGAAGAATACTCCCTCTTTAAAACAAGGATGTGAGATCATAGTGTCCAGAACACCGCAATATCGTTTATCCGCTGCATTCTATGCAAGTTTTCTCTGTATATATTATTTCATTATAAAATGATATCTATTTGTTATCAGCAGGGCTTGTTTTGATAAATTTGCTCCACGGCTAATAAGTAGTGTCCTTCTATACGTTCTATTTACTAGTATATCAATCTATATCAATCATAAGTGAATATCATATATGTAAATAAAGAAAAAGCAATATATGGTGTAGATATGTATGAAATTGAATCCTATGTAAATATACTGTAATGTTTTTAACTTGAAAACTATCTTAATAAGATAATATCTTTTACTTGTTGACTGTTAAAAGAAAGTGCAAAATTAAATAAGTTCATCGACCTACATGTAGGCATCTATATGCATGCTAATGAGAGGGACACACCTTTCACCGTGTGTGGGAGATACACGTTGCCGTGACGGTTGTCTACTCCCTTTGTCATATTATTATGTGCATTAAAAATCGTTTTATATTTAAACGTGCTATAGTGGGACACGTATAGACATAGCATACTTGTTACTTACTTTCCGACATATGGAATTGTAGAAGTCCTATATGATTCATAAATAGAAAATTGTTTTATTTTTTACAAAGGAAGAAATATATTTTGAAATATTTCAGATTTTAATCTCAACTAACAATGATATCAACATAATATTTAACTTGAGGCTATATCAAAATAGACTCTCTTGACGAACAAGAATGCAACGTAAATAGTAGCATGGGTAATCTCTAAATGAATTACTAATTTAGTCGCGAGCCATGAAATGACCTGAATGTTACATCTGCACATTGTCAAGGTATAAGACATAGTTCGTAGATTTCCCAGCCTTACCTATTTATTTATTACAACCGCAGCATCTATCGTATACGCATTCTTTATCTACAGCTACACTTGAGCTTTTACGAACCCTTCAGCCCCTGCTTCTTCTACCCGTACGGATGATATGATAATAATGCACATCCTGTGACATGATCACGGTTCCACTTTTTTCAGAGGTAGGTTGTTGGGTTTTGGTGATTGTTAATGTTGTAAAAGGGTTTGCCACTGTAACGGTAAGAAAAGGAAGACCAAAGGAAGGGCATTTTGTTTTCTTTCAGGACATTGATGATGCCACTGAAGACTGTAAACGCCATGCAATGTACAACGAGGGACAGTATGAAAGGACATCGACAGCAGCGTCATCATCCTATTACTCTTCCATTTCTAACTGCAGGTTGATCGTTAAGAACTGGTCAATTTTTCCAAGCAAACCATCCGATCGACATCAAAAACGAACAAAAACAATAACATTTCAACAGCTACAAACCAAGTGTCAATGTAAATAGTTAAAATCAATGTGTATATATTTATATAAAGTTTCTGTTTCAATATTATTGTAAAGTACAATTGATATAACCCACATTCCAGTCATACATTATCATAACTTCATGTCACAGTTAAAACATCGTAATAAACTTTAATATATAGCCGCTCACAGATAGTCCTAATTCATAACAGAAACAGTTTTCTATTCTAAAAATGCAAATATAGATGACAAGTTTCATGTTGTTTAAGTAAGTGACTCCACTGGCTATCCATAATTTTCAAATACTCTGTTCAATAAAAGATTCCCATGCTATATGTGATGAATTCTGAGGTATTCAGTGTCAAACATTGATTTATATTGTCTAACCATTTTCATTATTGTTTTATTGGTTAGCATAAACTTTGATGCCATTGGGTCTGGATTCCACATATCAGAATTTACCGTAGAATCGCTTCAGATCATGGATAGGAAGTGTTGTAACTTTACTGAAAAGTCAGGACCTGATACATCCAGAACTGCCTTTTAATCAGACTGTATGTACATACCCATCTTGTATGACTATGGTATGGTAACCAATAAAGGGCATAAGCCTCAAAGTTACAAAGCCATCCATTCCTTATGGTGAGAATGTTTCAAATTATTTGAGAAATAGTAATTAATACGAATATATTACTTGCCGATGTTCGAGAAAAGTTACATAAAAACGATGTAAAAAAATTTGACACACTGTTGAAGTGTACAATATTATAAATAATAAAAATATAGCGACTTAGTGTAAAGTCGACTGTAGGCAAGATTACCTGACCACATCAAAAGAATTAGTATCGTTTTAAGACGGAAAAAATGATATTTTTAAAAATGTGTACTATTTTGAAAGCAAAATAATTGTGTTGATCATTTCTGACTTGAACAAAGCAAACAAAACCTTGGATACTCGAGTTGGTAAACGACAACACCATGTTCAAAGTTAACCTGGTTTTTATTTTTCTCACTAAATGTTGGCGGAAATGAAGAAAACGTTGACAACACACGCATACAAATCCCCTTCTATTGACGAAGTGATGTTTTCAAATGTTTTAGTCAAGTTGATCGACAATTATTATTTAACTTTCTAACATCCAGGTGAGTTCATTACTTTCTAAAAACTTTCTGGGTTGATACTTCTGTTTACGTCAGTAATTTTTCAGTGGCGATCGATTGTCATCTTAGATATTCGATAGAGACTTCATACTGATATTCTCATTATAAAACAATGCTATAAGTAGTTTAAGTATGTGACACTATAAAATCTCACTAGGGCGGGTATCTTTCAATCGATGCCGCAAGCAAAGTGAACATTCTCTGACGAAACCGGGAAAGTAAAAAACCAGGCCAATAAGTTCATATTTTGTCCCCCGAATATAGTTTCTAAGTCAGTCAATATTTTTCTCTAGGCTGGTAGGCTTTCGAACCAACCGGATTGCATTCCAAAATAAATTCTATAAATAAGCAGGTAGGCTATTATATTTTGTTTAATAGGTTTAGAAGAAGTAGATTGTCGGAATCTCTAACACTCTTGAAAGCTCAAAAGGACAATATTCTTTCAAAGCAAAGGATTCTAACTTGGCACCGTACCACATCGGTCCATTGTGTCCGTCCTTTGCCACGGATAATATACGACCAACGGGCGAACTGTTACAAGAGCTGGAAAACAATCGCTGGTGTTACGCCGTTGTTTTGTTGATTCACAAAGCTGTGTCTTTAATATATCTTACTTCCAATTGCCGTAAACTGCAAATGATATAAGAATATGAAACTAAAGATATATCCGGTAGTCCTGAAAAAACACTTTTCAATTCAAGATTTTTCATAACGTTTCAAAGCTATGATCATAATAATATTTTGACGGGTTATTAGATATCATTTACAACATTACAACTTCATAGATTGAACAACTTGGAATACCAGCTTTTTTTTAAATTAATTGTCAAAAAATATAATGCCGAAAATAATTATTACAATTTCACAGCTTTAATTCAATTAATACTCAATATAGCCACCATTTTCAGCGAAATTCTTTTGAATTCCTATCTTTCATGACAAGATATTGCCTGTACGGTATGTTCAGTTGGTATTTTGTTCCAATTCTATCCTTCAGTTACTTGCGATCAGGAGATTTGGGTGGTCATTCATCTTTTGTATGAAATAGTCCAAATTCCAAAATTCAGAAGGCAATTTTTTCATGGACAAAACGTTTTAGTTTTTTTTCGGCTGCAAATGTCCTCTCTTGCATCAGTCCCATGAAAGTGAAAAAATTACAGTATTTACTTTCGGTATTATATTGTTTGATAAGGAATTGTAAAAAGGCTGTTATTTCAAAATGGTTCAACCTATAAAGTTGTAATTTAGTGAAAAGATGCACAAATTCCACTTAAATATGAGGTCAAAATTTTATGATCATAGCTTTGATACTTTTTGAAAAATCCTGAAATGAAAAGTGTAATCTTTTTTTTCTTCTGGGCCATTTGATATAAATATGATTCATCGCTATGACGTCCTTGTCTGTAAAGATAGCTGTGAATTAAATTCTTCATGACGCAAATGAAAAACTTATTGGTGATAATGCAATATTCTCTACTGGAGCCATTTTGATAAGATTATGATAGGAGATTATATCATGGACGCCAGTGTGGGGGTTAACTTGTTATTTTAACACTTTGATGATAATCCGGATTTAAAATGTTTAGTTATTAGTAGTAATTAAAAGTTACGGTATACTTGTCTTTTCTTACACTTCGCTTTATGGTGGAAATGTTAATAGTTGTCATGTTTACTGAAAGGGAATAGGACAAATAAATAAATACCGTGTTGATTTAACCTGCTCATCATTATATGTTCAAAATACTTGGCAGAAATTTTTTGTGATGTTAAATGAGCCTTGATATCTGCGCATTTGAGTAACACTGAATATTCGTGTTGGTAGTTTAATTGAGTGTATCTCCGGTGGTCGATTGTAAGTCAGCGCAATAATGAAAAAGTAATGAAGCAGAAAAATATATTTGATTAATAAAATATTTTTTATTAAGCATACTTGAAATCATTCAACACAGGATACGTACATGTACCTTTAAAATAATTTCAGTCCGCCGTTAGCAATAATCCATATCAGTCCATCTCGAGATACAGGAGTGACAACCTTGCCCTAACTTATTAGTAATAACGATGATTATCTGTATATAATAGGGTAAATAATATTACCTAAAAAAAGATACTCCCACCAAAAAAAACATCGTGGATTGTTAGAGAGGCAGTGGCGTTTCTAGAAAAAATCAAACGAAGGGTCCGAGCTGGGGCTACACTATTGTCTCAAAGTATATTTGAAAGTGGGAGGGGAATGGGGTAAAGACCAGCTAACATTACCTACACCAATGGTACATTTTATATTCAAATAAATACAGTTTTGTTTATTGGAATGATGTTTAAGAAAATTTTTCCTCTGAAACTACAGGAACAGAAAAGAAATAGTCAGACAAAATTATCAGATGACATAGCTTGTCCCAAAATTGGTTGTTTAGCAATGGAAATATGGTAAACGTAAAACAATTCTTTAATAAAAACCCATTTTAATACCAACTATTTCTATCATCGGCAAAAACAGTAAATTGCTCTGGATTTATTTTGTCTCTTAATCGAATGCAATATACATACTCGTTTCACATGACCACCTCGTAGATGACCACAAATGTCATACGATGCATTATTGCAATAATGCGTTAACGGACCGAATAAGGAATATACAACCATTTCATTCAGTAAAACTAAAAATTATTCAATGTTAAATTCCCTTAAACACCCGCCTTAACCGTATGATATTATCATGGACATAGTGTAAACATCCGTATAAGTTCAAAGGTGTATGAACACGTTTCTGTTCTGTTGAACCACAGAGAAAGGGCTGCTCAGTATATATCCTTTATCCTATTGAATAACAGTATATCTTGCACACTTCCCGAATCCTAAGCCTTGATCTTCTGCACACTACCCTTCTTAGTATATAATACATATTATCTACATGATCCTAGGTTTGATTAAAATTATAAATGGTTGAACATATCGAATGACTGCTACAGATTAGGATTGGTTAAAGTACAGATCCGGTAAGGTTTCTTATAGTACATTTCAGTCTGTTGCAGTAAAAACATTGTTGCGCATTATTCTGAAGGGTATTTTTAAAAGTTCCAAATTGTACTTAAGTTGTGTACTTATTGTTTGATAATTCGAATGATGTTAACCATAATTCCGGGATTTCTGCTTTTTTTGCCCGAGCTGTTCAGGCACAGTGTGTATTCATACCGTCTGTATGAAACATATTTTTTCTAAGACACATGTATTCTAGGGTTATTTCGTCTTGAAGGATTCGCATTACTGATAGATTCAACGAGTCGGGCTACTCTTCAATAAAATCGATCTGAGGTCACCCAATTGCCTTCATAATGTAGATGCAATCAAAATAATAATAGAAGTACAGGGTGTGGTTAAGTTACGTAATTAAATTGAAAATAGTAATTGCTTTAGTATGGTATACCTGTATTGATACGAGATATAAAAAATATTATGATTTATAAACTATGTTGTATACATATAAAAAGTGATACAACAATAAGGACGATTATAGTGTTTGAACCCTTGTTAATAAAAGTAAGCATGAGAGTTTTGTTATAGTATTTTTATATCCTGATTACCCCATTACCCACATTCATGTTATCAATCGTTTTAAGACATTAAATTGAAAGTTAATTGTTATCTTCTGCTTCAAGACCAATACAAGGCCCCTTTCCCAAAAATTCCAACTAAAATTTGTAGAAAATGGCAAATTTAACACAAGAAAATCAAATTGCTGCTAAATTTGAATGTAAGATTTTTTTTAGAAGATTCACACTCAAAACAAGCTGATCGCATCTTTGTTAACACCTAAAGAGGCTTGAAAATGACTTGAACATTGGACTAACACCTCCAGTATACTTAATAATACACGCCAATTTACCTCTCAAGGCCATCGTTATCCACCTCTTATTGTTTTTACCGTATTTCTTTATATATCGTTTCAGGCTCCACAAACCATGAAGAAGAATATACTTATTCTAGTAACAATCCACCTCGCCTTATTCACCTTATCATCAACATCAGAATGTCCTCAGATACACCATGATTGTCAGTGTACACAGCCAGAAGAAGGCATTCATATCAAATGTCGATTCCAAGATAATGATCTGATCAACATAACACTCATAAACTCAACTGGTAACGAAGATATATTCATCAAAGAACTAGATCTGGAATCCAATAACTTAACATCTCTCCCAAGTGCCTTTTTCAATGGAGTGACTTTAATAACACACATCAATTTACGAGACAACGAATTCACTGATGTACCAGATATACTTGAAGATATTGGTAATATAACTTGCCTTGACCTGGAGAAAAATAAAATCAAACTTCTGAATATGACAGCACAGAATCTCAGGTCTGTACAATCGGTAAACTTTGCCTATAATCAACTAGATACAATTATTCTCCCAGAGAGTCTCCACTCAATGATATTATGGAACTTCTCCAATAATTTTCTGGAAGTAGTGCCTGAAAATCTGTGGAGTATTGCTGGTACTCTAGATTTATCAGACAATATTATACAAAATCTACCAAAAATTCCAGAATGCAGATTGAATGTTCTGAACCTTGATAATAATAACTTAACCGAGATTCCACCGCATACGTTTGAGGACTGCAAAGATCTACAGGAGCTAAAATTACGTGGAAACAGGATCTCGAAATTAGACACCGAATCGCTCAGTGGGTTGGATGTTTTATACCAACTTCATCTAGATAGGAATCACTTGTCCTCTCTGAAGCCTGGAGTATTCAGTAGTCTGCATTTCTTGTTCACATTATCGTTGGCACAGAACAGGCTATCCCTTCTGGAGCCTGCGAACTTTAAAGGCATTGACGACACTCTTCAACAACTTATATTAAGTGGTAACCAACTCAGTGGACTAAGGAATGACACATTTTCCATTCTTGAGAAGCTCCATCGTTTGGACTTATCATTCAATGAAGAAATCACGGACATCAGCGATCTAGTGCTTCCACCTCATCTTGCGTCATTGGATCTCCAGAACTGTTCTATTAGAGATCTACACAGTTGTAAGCTGATGAAATTAACTGATTTACAAGAAATCAATCTAGCCGATAATAATCTGACATGCAGCTGCCATTTATCGATGTTATTTGGATGGTATAAGGATCGCACTACCAATGGATATACTTCAAGACCACAAACGCAAAACAAGTGGGAGTGTACCGTGTCGGATTCAGACGTACCCCGTATTGTAACAGAGGATATCAAGAACTGTGGCCGGCATCAGGATATTGAACAGCACTGCGAAGAGGTGAGACTAGTGGTGTATGACTTTACTCCCATCAAGGTTAACACGAGCCTTGTCACCTCCGATAACCTTATCACAATCCACTGGGAGGTTGAGGGCGATAAAAGACAAATTGTCGGATATAAAGTTTCTTACGAGTCTGATGGAAAAGTGTTATTCGAGTCACCAGTTCTCGGCAAGAATCAACGGACCTTTGTGATAAGCTTCGTATCGCAACACGATCAATACTCAGTGTGTGTGGACGTCGTGGGAAATGCTACCAGTGCTTTGACCTCGTCCTGTGAAACTGTATCCGGCCAATCTTTGGATTATTTGATCGGTATTATGGCAGGAGTAGTATTACTCTTGCCCTGTATAGCGGCTCTCTTGTATATATTACGTCGCGATAAGAGGATAAAAGAAGCCCAGTATTCTCCCTTAGATGAGAAAGTTGTTAAGCGTCAACCGAATAAAAGCCATACGGTTGTTGTGGAAGTCAGCGAGGCAGTAAACGTGGAACATGCAGTTTGTCCATACCATGAAAATAAGGCCTTCAACCCCTCGGAAGAGACGGTCAATGAAGTTGTTCATAAGAGCGAGACAGTAAATTGTGATTCGAACAAAGTACTTGATGAAAACAAACCGGTTGTAACTGACTCGTCATCAGACTCCTCTGAAAGTACCAATATGTGAAGGGAGGGTGAATGAATTTATCACGTGCAATATTCTGAACTGTTGAATATAGACAAAAATATAAATGCTTCAAAGATGTCGTTAGTTGAATCGTTATGAATGAATTGCCATTTCATAACCAGGACTGTGATGAGTGGTCGTACGAAGCATACGTCGTTGATCAATGTTCTATTCCATTTTTATCTATCGTCTATCGATTACTGTATTCACATAAAACAGATAATCTTTAAGTGACGTTTATGTGCAGAGCTAATATTAAATAACGAATCACATTTTGGCTGTCGGAGACTATCAACCAACTGTGTTCCGACAATTCAAATCGTATTAGACTTCACAAGAAATAACTGATCACGTTTGTATGGTATACTACCCCTATACACCAAAATCGATTGTCATTAGCCAGTAAAAAATTAGTTAGTACCATGCCCTAATAGGACATGGGTATATCAAGCTCTCCCGAATGAATTTTTTGTTAAGTTACAACGTGGTTTTGTCATGAACAATTTTGTCATGCGGAGCTTTTGATTAGATATCTAGTCGATTTCGTGGATATGGTTTGTAACCTAAAATATTTCTATTGCATCAATAAACTGTTAAAAGATCCAAAACGTGGAAGGAAATATAAATGCTGTAAAATGTTGTATTGATTTGTCATTTGAAATCCTTGTTTTGTTATTATATATCTCAATAAAAATATCCTTCATGTAGTAGGATAAGCTGCTACCAATTTCAAGGGAACTGAAATACGTTTATTTCGTTCAGCGATATTGGAAGTATCCAATGATATTTTACTGGGTCAATATGTCTCACTTCACCCAAACCTCAGCATTGAAGAAAGTTTTCAATTGTAGATATTCACTCAAACAGCATCAATTTCCAGTTTTCACAGTGGTTAAATATCACCAATATACATATCTCTTATGCGAGCTATTTCTGTCCGTCCTTGTCTTTCACCAAACTGCTAACAACAAAATAAAAAATCAGCATTTCGCTTTGCATACTGCTGTGCTGTGTTTAGTAGCTACAATCTGGAAGTAAGTCTTGAATATGCACCAATTAAAGGTATAAATAATTTGTAATGATATGAGATGCTAACAGCTGAAATTGAGCCCCATTGACATTATCTGTTCGAAAAAGCCTGTATTCATTATCCATTCTACAAAAAAAAAACTTGTACACTGAAAATGTTGTTATCTCCCTTGAACATTATGAACAATCACTCTTCATTAGTTATAACTATGCAGGACAATTTTATTAATTGTTCGTTGGTCCAAGGGAAATAACCCATTTTAGAAAGGGACACTCTCCTCCGGTGGTAGGCTTTGTGTGAGGACGTACAAGTATATAATAGAGATTATCAAAAAAAACATAAGAGACGTGTTTTGCATAACTAAAACGTAAACTGCTCATTCTCAAAGCTTTCAGATTCCATGGATTAACGTAACATTAGAGATGAAAACAGACTTAAATATCTTGTACACCTTGCTCAGTATGCCCGTTTTGTGACGTTTTGTGGACTAGGTGCGTGTTAGTGGTGGGCTCTCTCAGTCAGTTGTTGCAAGTGTAATGATCATCTTTTCTTGTCACAGGAATGAGAATGAACAATCTTGAAACAGACTTGCCATCTTCATTAGCCCACATGGTGCAGAAAAATAGGATGTAAAACTCCATTCATTTTCTTTTCATTTGAAACAGACTTGACCAGGATCAACAAATAGATCCTGGATCAAGACTAACTTGCAATAGTTCTTCGTTAATTGTCCTACTGTTAATAAAAATTCTCATTGTACTTATTTGAGAGCGATATGGACAAGTAGTGGGCTCTCTCAATCAGCTGTTGCAAGTCTGATGATCACGAAGCTATTCTCGTTATAGCATGCCAGGATCTCGACGACGACGAAAGCTAGTAGATTAAAACTCCTTAGGCACTTTATATATACATAGTAAACTTTTATCGGATATTTTGCCACTATCCTCATTTTAAATATGTTTCAAAATGTCTTATGTTGTAGTCGTTGTCATACGTCATGTTAAATGTAACACGTGGTGTTAAAACAGATGCGACACGCCTGTCATAATATCAGATTAAAATTATCATGTTAAAATAAATTTTGAATATAATAAATTTTAGACGACGTGGTAGAAAAAATGAAGCTTTTTGCCTTGGGGGACGGTTTTGTCATTCGAGATAACTTTCACGCAACAGACATTAATGATAGTGTTTTCAACGCCGATGATATCAGAGCTGGGCCGATATTACATGATAATACCCTAGAGACGACTCGATCTATTGATAACTCCATCTCGAGGTAAACAACTTTTTATAGCATTATATCATATATATAATTATGTAATCATGGAACATGATGTTGCATAGTATGCATTAATGATTTGCATGCATACTGATGTTATTACTTCAGCTTTGATGTTGTTCAGTAGCAGTTTAAGATGATGATACCAACTGCTATAAGGATTTGCATGCATACTGATGTTAAATGTACAAGCTTTGGTGTTGTTCGGTAGCAGTTTAAGATGATGTTACCAATTTAGTTTAATACAAAGTTACGTATGAATGAACACTGATGTTAACTATTCTGGCTTTGGTGTTGTACTCGTAACAATTTAAGATGTTTTATTCATATAAAGATACCAATTCAGTTTATGAAATAGTTACGCACGTGGTATTGTGCATTAATGGTTTGAAAATGATTGATTGAAATAAACTTAACGTACTTTAGAAATTGCATAAATACATAATTTAAATGCTTATCACTATAGGGAATGAATTTTAAATGAAAATGAAATGAGATGAATGGAGTATTTACGTCCTACTTTTCTGCACCATGTGGGCTAATGAAGACGGAATGAATTTTAAGACAAATAAATGCATTGTATATAATTAAAAAAAAACATACATATACTTTGAAAAAATATTTCAATTTTATTTATGATAATTTACCAATACATAGTCACTAAGAAAGTGTACTTATTTTTTCCTAAATTTGATTTACTGAACTCAAACATAAAAATAAAATAATGTATTTATGAACCGAATAATATATCTATGAATATCAATGACAAAAATGTTTTTACTAATTTCATTGTCACTTTTCATGCTAAAAATATAATGGCGAACGTCACTTAGAATATCAATCATTTTGTAGCTCAAATAAATCTTCATTCAGGAGAAATATGCTCGTTTTGTAATAACGTCTAACTCAGGAGAAATATGCTTTGTGTATAACAACTTGTAGTTAGAATCCATGGATCGTAAGGTTTATATAGTGGTAAATATGGATTATTTTTATCATCGTTGGACTTGAATCTAGGAATTGGTTATAGGATAATGATGGATGAATACTAGCTTCCAAGATGTTACGCAGAAAATGGATATTTATTATTTTTTCTGAAAAGGCGATGATATCAAAGGTCTCCCAAGAAAATTTGAATTGTATTGTACAAGTGATGACAATTTAATCCTATCGTATATTATAATTATTGTATATCTCATATACATGGAATGATATTATTAAATACACAAAGATGAAATTCCACTAAAATGAATTTAAATGTTTTACATTGTCACCCTCCCGAGACAAATATGTATTTATTTAATATAAAATACAGAAAGAATATAAATAATACGACAGTTTTGTCTACAGGTAGTTAGCGGAGGAAGGCTAAGAATGCAGGGTGTTATGAACAACTAACGTACAATTAGGTGTGTGTGTGTCCGTTACCAAAGAATTACAGAAATGACTGAACAGCCGCCGAATCCAAACTGGACATCTTTTTTCGATCGTCAAGTTGTCAGACAGTACCAAGATTTCGTGAGAGACAGGGATCCAGCTAAGGTTCGTTAGCCTCCATTCATTTTATTTGCCTTAATACATAAGCGAATTGTTATCGTGTATTCGGATAACACAGATCACAAATATTCACGTGAAGAGCGGTAGAACAACCGACTGCAGTGTGCTGAATAACTGTCCATCGCCCAATTATGGCCATTATTATTAAGTATAACAATATTGTTTGTGAATACTAAATACCAGTTATATTATTATATACTTGTCAGAAGTTATATACTTTGACAGAATTTCATCACAATATGTCACCCTGTTAACATGAGATTGATTACAAATGGTCATGAATATTAATTAGATGGTCTTGATCTCGTTGATTTCAACATTTTAGTATGGTCTGGGGTGTCTTGCAGGACGTAAAGTGCGGTGGTCGTAAAGTGCGGTGGTTCTTGCATGGCGTAGATCTCTTGCATGCCATAGATTACCAGCATCTCAAACATGGTAAAGCGTAAACATGTATTTTGCACAGTGAAAGCGTATTATTTAGAATCTCTGACAGTATCATGGTTTCCTGTATGGTATAGAGTATCGTTTGCATAGAAAGAGTGAATCGATACCTCTTAAATAGTACACATCGTATTGGGATCTCATCCATGGTACATCGTATCGAGATCTCCTGCAGGAAACATCTTATCGGGATCTCGCGCATGGTACCTCGTATCGAGATCTCCTGCAGGAAACATCGTATCGGGATATCACGCATGGTACCTCGTATCGGGATCTGGTGCATGGTACATCGTATCGGGATGTCTTACAGGAAACATCGTATCGGAATCTCTTGCATGGTACCTCGTATCGGGATATTTTGCACAGTATATAGAGTATCGGGATCGACATAGTTTATTGGAATCCTTGCAAAATTCATCTCTTTGTGAATGCTTTTTGCTAGCCTTTCTATTTTCTAGAGCCCTGGTTCAGAACCTGGGGTGTTTACAACCCCGGGGGTGTGGGACTAGGGTGTCAGGGGTGTGGCCAACTGTTGTAGGAGAGGAATTTATTTTGAATTGAGAGAGCACCTCACATCATCACATGCTGGTAATGTGGATGTGGGTGTGAAAGGTCCACGTGATTGCTCCATGGGTGTGAAGGCTGAAATTGGTTGGGAAACACTGTTCTAGAGTGATATCGTGATCTGGTCCTGTTTTGCTTACCAATTCAGTAAATAACTGGACACGATTATATGGATAACAAGTACTTTAATAAAATATCTTGCGACGTTTCAACAAAGTTTCTTCCGTCTTTACCGCGTAATGCAGTAAAGACATATGTTGGGCAGACTTAAAAATTTCTTTATATTTGTTTCAAAATTTCATTTATTAAGAGAGCTTCCATAATTGCTTTCATGTCTCTATAATGGTTCATTGTGAACTGATGATTTTTAAACTCAAATCTTCACATTTTTCCTTGTTTACAGAGAAATCTTCCACCATTAGATTATGATACCAGACCAGACTTTGATACCTCACAGCCAGAAAATGGTCACATCTCCACTCCTCCCCCAGTACCCGAATATTCCAGGGTCATCTTTCCTCATGGTCGAAATAAAAAGAAACAGAAAGAATTTAAATCACAGCGAGGGAGACGAACATTTTCGTGTGTGATATTTGGTGTTTTAATGATCGGCGTTTTAGCTTTACTGGCTGGTTTTCTTATACATTTCTTATTCATTGGTAAGGGGTAAGGCCTTGTGTCGTAAAACCACCAATAATGTACATATTACTTATATATTGGTTGGAAACATTTCTTTCGACAGCAATCTAAATGTAAGTGAACTTACAGCAAGTGGCTCTCACAACAACCATTGGTACCAATATGCAGAGGTCATGAGTCCTTTCAAATCAATCTAATTGTTGTTGTTCAAGATCTGCTAAGAAGGACTGTATGGTCTTGTTATAATTTCAGATAAAGGTTCACAAGCAGAATTTCTAATAGGTAGCCCTGAACGTAATAATAATACTGGTAGAAAAGAACCTTCTATGCTACTTACTACAGCTAGTTCAAGTAAGTATCGCCACATTCTGATCACTTTTTCAAATATAAATTTCAATTGATGGTTCAACCTTTCAAAACAATTTTATTGGGTAAAGGTAGACTTTTTAAATATTATGTTAAAGGTACAATAAATTTTACCGCTACGACTGCAAAACCAACGACGGCCCGCCCTACAACAACAATTATCACTACAACGCCTTCGACTACTACTTCCACTAGTAAACCTGTGGTCGTCCCAATTGCACCTAAAACCTTACAATCCAGCGAAATATTCTCAGTAGCTGTTACAAGACCCAAATCAGCGACTACAGCAACACCTACAACCACTGCTACACTTACAACGACTCCAAAACCTATCAAAGGTAAAATAATATATTTTATTTAATTAATTATTTAGTTAAATATAAAATATTTATATTTGTTGAACGACCAATATGTTGAAGAAACGGGTTGACCATCCTTTTGACCAATTGCACCTTAGTCTTTGAAACGGAATTTTCAGCTTAGCTAATCAGTCATAGTGTTCACATCTCACCGTCGAAATTATAACCTTCAGATTCACATGTGTCCAGAATTATCCGCATTTGAAAGTAAAAAAGAAAACTTGTATTTTCTTGAGACTCTGATATATATAGAAAAGGATTATGGAAATATTAAGTGCAATTCCTAGTTTTGGGGTATTTTAGAAGGAATTGTGTGATATCCGTACATGTCTTGTACTTCTAAAGACTATTTACATAATATACAAGATCAAAATCAGCACCGAAAAATGGCGAACCTTTCCAATTAAATGTTAAGCGTAATTAATGCCTATTTTTTAAAATTAAGACGTAATTAAATTAAACTCGTCTGTAGTGTTAAATTATTCATTTTGTTCCAAAGCCAGTCCAACAATTAACAATCAATTTCCATGACAGACATGGAAGACATGAAATGACCCAGGATTTGATCCGCCCATTTTTTTAGTTTAATGATTGTAACAATGTCTTCAAAATAATTTGATAACATTGCATTCATATAGGTTAGTTATAGATGGTGAATAGTTACAGCCAATAATCATTCTAATTAAAATTAGACCAAACTTTCAGTCCTTTTTTTAAGCTTTTATTTTTATAGTCACTTCAGTTAGGGTCTAATGACAGCCCTCTTGAACGTTCGTCAAATTAACCAATCAAACTTGTACCCTCTCTAGCGCTGTCGTTAGACCCTGACTGAAGTGGCTATATTAAAAGTAAAAGCTAATAAAATACTTTTACTTAGACTGAGTCAGTCATGTAATTTATATATTTCGCGTTGATGCCCGAATACTTGCATGAACAGTCATTATATATTAAGCACACAAAGTATGCAGAGTGTAAGTTATTAACACCGTATTTCAAAGTGTTACCTTATGCAAAAAGTTAAGATAAAAAATATCATAATTTACTGAATTAATACAAAGTCTTGTCACCATTCTGTCAGTGTCAAGCTAAATTGCTAGATATATAATCATGTAATTTTAACATAGGAATTTTCACATTAACATAACTTTAAAATCTCACATAAAAAAATGTTTTTTCTGAAAGAAATGTTGGTGTAGTCAGGTTATAAATATCAAATTCAATGAAAATGAACCTATTTTGCCAAGGATTAGTAATTTCGTTCAATCAATGAATCTATATCATATATCAAACGGACACAAATATTATTTAAATAAGTGTTGAAACTGGTGTTATTTTGAGGCTTTCCTGTATAAAACATTGCCAGTGCAGAAATGCATGAACGAGATTACGTTTACTAGGGACAATGAATGGGACGAGTGCTTGGTGTTGCACATCATTACAGTAAAACACGCTGAAATTTGCTTTCTAGCAATATGTTTCTCAGCGTCTTCGCCAATGTTGGTGAAGAACAGTTAGATATCCATCACATCAATCTTCATCACGCCAAAGAAACAAAAAACAAAAAAGAGTATGAAAGGCAAACATTACGTTCCTCTCATTTGCCCAGTACGATGTATATGTAGAACAGCGGGACGTAAAACTCCAGTTTGGATGGCCTAAATATTTCTTCAAGTGACGAAGGCATTAAAATCAGAATCAGCATGTCAACATGTCCGTCAAGCTAGAAGTTGATTTATCTATATAAGGTGTTTTATGTTAGTAAATTATTGTAATCATCTTCAACACCATAAAACATGTATCATAAATTCTCAAATCTTGACATTAATTTGAAAAGACTTAATTAATAATTAGGACAATTTTTTCAAGGTGACTTTTGTTGAATTATAAAGATTCTTTACTGAGAAGGAAATACGGTTATTGCCAGCGTGCCATCGTTTAATGCGTAGGTTTTCAACCAAAGTGGGGACATTGGCATTTTTCTTTAGGGACATTTGATGTGTCACAGACTAGTCACGTTTTATGCAAAATAAAAACTTAAATATATACATATGATGACTACACTATACACAACCTATATTAACATTGTCTAGGAGTACTCTGAGAATTATTACTTTCCAAATATGCGAGAACGTGCCTGGTATCCAATCATAGATACGCTTTCGATATTTGGGGACATCATTTTCATGCTGATTCGATTTGGGGACACATACAAAAAGAGGTTGAAAACCACTGGTTTACTGTGAAGCTATTAACAGGAGCCGCCATCTTAAAACCAAAATTAGTATTCTTAAAGTCATGTTATAATGTTTCTATGTAAGACACCAGCTTATATAGCTAGTTTTTAGAAACAGTTACCATGTCGGATCATACGTAAGACCAAGAAATTAGGCAAACTGTAGACAAACATTGACGATTCTCAAACCTACACTATTAATGCATTTTTTGGTTTCCAAACGCTTGTTAATGAGCATCATATCTTGTTTATAGACCTCATTAAAATATAGTATAATAATTCAACAACTTACAATATCAACCTGTTGAATGGACTAAATAGTAGATATTCGGTTTTCTGTCTTTTTTCAGCCATATTAACCCTGAATAATGTCAGTGTCTCTTTGGGTGAACCAGCTTCTCTGATTTGTAACTTATTACAAGGTGGAGCATGGAAGACTCTGTCTATACTACAGATAAAACCAGCTTTTAGTTTGCTTGTGACTCTCCATGCTGGTGCCAATAAGACAAACACCTGGCCAGATAAAAGGCTACGTTCCGCGTTTGTTATCGTTGAGAACGGTGTAGAGTTGCTACTGGTTATTACCAAGACCAGGTGTACAGATCACGGTGTATACAGATGTTCAGCTGAACTAGAGAATGGTATCATATATGATACACAGGAAGTAATCATTAATGGTAGGTCATTTACTTTACTGTTTTTATTAGGTAGTAAAGAGCCCATCGTACATAACTACAAGAGAGTTTTGAATGAACAAAAAGCTTACACAATCATCTTGTAATAATCATGTTAAACAATCATGTGTGTTTTGCTTTTAACCGAGAAGTTGAAACCTACCATTTTCCCATTAGAAATGCATTTATTATTTTCCAGAACCCTTTGTTCAACCAGTGGTAAAGACATTACCATATCTAATCGAGAAAGAACTGGCAACGATATCAGCTAACTGGACACTGGGTCCTAAATATACACAAGGTAAAGTTACATGGGAAGTGAAGGCTGCACATGACACTGAGTATACACCAGTAGAAGTGAACGACTTCACCCAACCAACACGACTCGACTGTTCTACTCAGTTCACCAACACCTTCGTGGTTTTCGTAGAAATGAAATTCAATAATTCGTATTTACGAATTCGGATAGAATCGGTTTATGATGAGAATGGTGTGGCCAAGTCATATGTTTCTCCACCAGTTTACCTCTTAGTTATACCAGGTAGGTGAACATCAGATTTGCGTTAGTTATGGTGTTTGGGATATGAAACGAAATTGGAACATTTTATAGATCCTCTACATTTCAATACTGTGAATATGTTTTTCTTGTCAGGATTTGGTGACTCTGTAATTGATTTCTTGCCTTAGGTTGGAATGCAACTACTGTATTATTGTAGAATTGGGATAGCTCTGTAGAGAGTTGGATTTTAATCTTCTATACTAGCGAATCATGATAACAATTTATGACTAAGCCAGTAATTTGATCGATTCGATACAATTCGATTAATTGCAATTTTGTCCACCTTACATTATGTACATGTATGTTATATATTTTCAGCTGGATTATGTCGTGGTCGAGTTGATGATTCTCTGATCAAACATCCCTATACTTGTACCCAGTTTATACAGTGTAAGAATCAGACTATGAGTATCTATGGTTGCAGAGCAGATGAATGTTTCATTCAGTCTGTGGAGGCCTGTATGCCAGTTCCTAGACTCGTACAGTTGCCAAAATTCGGTTAACCCACAAATCTTACTCTCGTACAAATGCCGAAAGTCGATTGACTAACAAATCTCACTGCCAAATACGGTTGACCTATAACAGCTAATTATCGTACATATTCCAAAATTCTACTGACTTTACACAATTTCTGAAGACTGTTTCATAACAATCACATGGAAAATGAAATGTTAGAAAAATCGTGTCTTCGTAAGATTGTGTATATGGAATGAGACAATGATAATCCCACAAACGATATACGAGTGATGTTTGTGGTAAGCTAATGTACATATTTCTGCGTTGACTTTTACTACACTTTGCTCATCGTTGGAGACTTAGAAACATCACTATGTTTCACAGGAGCTTTATACAATAAATTCAGTAATTCCTTCTGACAGTGGGGCTATAACAAAATGTACTTATGTAAAAACAAAATAATATATATTCTTATGTAATTACATTTATAAATATAAATATAAAAATCGTGATATTCTTTTATCTACAAAATTGTTTAAAATCTACATATTCTCTTATAGAATCACATTACCTTCACTTCCTCGGATTGGCCTTTTTTGTCTCTGCGCAGTATATAGTGCGCAATAAACACAATAGAAAGTGTACATCCCCTCACAAAAAACCATTCGATCTGCACTAGATCAAACTATCAGATTGGAATGATCAACTAGAAAAGGCAGTGTTTTAATTTTTGATAAGCTATCGCTTCACAATATCAGTCGATTACATTGCATCAGCGAACTGTTATTTAGGTTCATTTCACAAGATATCTTCACATATATAACGCATGGTCTAGATAAAGCCTTAGTTTGCATGTGACACATAATAATTACACATACACAATATCTCTAAAGATGTTTCAGTGGCACTGTACAATTACCCCATGACACACACATTGTATTTGTGCCTATGTACGTCTCTAAGTCTCCAATTATAGACAACATCGCCACACGCAACACATATAATAAAATAAAACCATGAAGATCATCCAAATTGAAGCAAGATGAAAAGTCAATTCAACTCAATCATCAATATGCGTCCTAAATAGTTATTCTGGACCATTCAATTTGTTTTGAAATGATAAATGTAAAAAGGTCAAAAGGTATATAAACGATCCTTGAGAGTGGTTTAAATGATAAAGTACCGAGATTCTATATAGCTAACATCCCGAAACATCCAAAATCATTCGGAGTATTCAATCGTGGTAAAATAAAGAAGTCAAAGTATCGCTGTTACTAGACGTGTAGGTTAAGATGTAGTATTCAACTGTTCCTCGGTACAGAAAGCTTTAGCTCTATCAAACGTACACGGTCCATCAGTAGAGGTATAGAAGGTTGTACCCGCACATGATTGAGATATTGGTGAACCATTGACACACCACTGGTATTTCTTACAAGAGGTTCTATCTGGTATAAACGTACCAGAAGCTCTACCATCACAACTGTACGGATCACCATCTGAAAAGTTGTAGAATAATTGGATTATAACGATAAACGTAACATTTGATTGCTAAATTAACGTTGTACCGTTTTACACCCACCTGAATGCTTTCATAATAAAGGAGAGCGGAACTTTGCACATTAATAATGTCTTACGTGTACTTACTTGCGATGGTGACATTGTAACTTATGAGGAAATCTATTTCTTATCATATCAAAGAGGATATTGCGGAAAAAATACTCTATGCTAAATAGATGATACAATATACGCTGGTAAAATGTAACCTTTATGAAAGTTGATATACACGTATGTTGCCCAACGCAATATATCATAGTATTATCATTGAAGGTTTTCACCGATGTTTCCAGATAACATAATGAGTACGTGTTGGCATTCTATTAGCCATCAGGTAAGAGATCATGCTTACCTGTTGGATTAGCAGTAGAGTCTATACAAGAATCAGAAGTTTCATCATAACACAGATTATCGGGACATTTACTGACTTGTAGTATATCACGGGGTAGACATGTTATGTATTTATTACATGTATAAGGATGCTTCTTTCTTTCATTATCTGGTGTAGAGGAACAGTAGTCAGCTGGAATCAGAGAAGGAACATATGTTTTGTTACAAGATGAATAATAACACAGATATGTATCGAACCTAGATAAATGAATTACGAGCACCTTTTACCAAAAATGATTGCTTGCAGCAAAACGTTTTGAAACTATTATTTAATTTCGTCTCAACAACGAATTGCAATACGTGAAAAGGAGGCAACTAAAATCAAAGCAGGTTTAAATAAATATGATGTAACCTATTGTCAGTGCTTTAAACTGATGAATTTGATATGTTTAGATCTTTACTGACATGTATATGCCGGTCTATTGCATATTCAACAGTTAAACCCATCGCTAGAAAAGGAGCCCATTTAAACATAATTTAATCGTTACGTTACCTGGAATTATAAGTATATCCTGAGCAGTAGATTGAGATGGTGGATCTACAGCCTCACAATATATTGATGAACTATTCCAAGCCATATCGAATGTATGTGTCACCGTGCTACCCATGTTATGGTAGCAAGTCTCATCACCAGAGTTAACTCGTGTATCAACTGGGAAGCTGTATGGAGAAAAGCTGGAATCCCCACTAAGTTGTCTCATCCAGTTCAACTGCCCATTGGGTATATTCTGTTTATTTTCGCATGTAAGGGTGTAAGATTTTCCCTCAATTATGTCCTCTGGAATAACTGCTGTTGGCACACTTGGTTTTACTAAAATAGATAATTTGTAGGTAGATATACAAGGGGAAATAACCTCAACTTCCAGTCATTCATTCAATTGGTTATACTTATCACCTCCCAAACAAAAGTCAACAGTACAAAGCGTTTTCAGTACAGAAATTTACGACAGAGCATGCTTACCACAATCTGATGCCTCCCTATTGCTTACTGGGTCGATATTCTACTGTTTGCACTAGCCTACATTGCGAATGATATAATTGTGGGATGTTCCTGTGCTTGCTTAGATAAACATACACTGACGACTTAGACGTTTAGTTTTTTTTTAAATTAGTTTCCAACTTACCCGAAATAACAGTTTCACTGTAATCTCTGTTACCAGTATTTGAGGTACAGGTGAACCGTGTGGATTGTACACAGCTAGCAGACTCGTAGGTAACACTTAACGTATACACATTACCCTCTTGAGTTCCTGAGGCTGTAACTCCACTTGGATTAAATACACTCACAGTCCCATCTTGTCTGTACCCAGCCTGAGGTTGCCAAATAGTGCCATTGTTTAATGAAGCCTCCATAAACACAGCGATGATATCGAAGTTGTCATTCCCATCATAATGACAGACTATTGTTACTGGTTCGTTGATATAGCCAACCACATCCGATAGTGTTATATCTGAAAGTAGTAACATAAATTTTATAATTGTAATTAATCACCTATTGATATCAATATAAGTTACATGCAACGTTATTAGGGTAATATACTACTTAATCGTGTTTTACATATTTTGATATTCCACATATCATTCTAGTGATTGTCTGAGAAATTTATAATTTTGACTGATTGACGAATGTAATTTTTATCACTGATTACACTACGACTGACTAATGGTTAACCAAATTGATAACGATCGAGCTTATCATAAAGTGAACTGTCAGTGTTTGTATATTAAAAACATAATAACTACCAAGAATCATATTATAAATATAGACATGCGAAAGGAGGGCAGATGATCAACTGTAAGCAACTAGAACGGCCATCGAAAAGATTAACTGCTGTATGCTTTTATAGAGATTACTTATACTTTAGTGCGATGTGTGTCACCACATTCTATATAAATATTGTATCAGTACTTACTTATAGGTCTTTGAGTCGTTGAACTTTTAGTTGGACTTGTAGTGGGGTTGGTGGTGGGACTAGTGGTAGGACTTGTAGTGGGGCTAGTGGTAGGACTTGTAGCGGGGCTAGTGGTTGGACTTGTAGTGGGGCTAGTGGTAGGACTTGTAGTGGGGCTAGTGGTAAGACTTGTAGTGGGTCTAGTGGTAGGACTTGTAGTGGGTCTAGTGGTAGGACTTGTAGTGGGGCTAGTGGTAGGAATTGTAGCGGGGCTAGTGGTAGAACTTGTAGCGGGGCTAGTGGTAGGACTTGTAGTGGGTCTAGTAGTAGGACTTGTAGTGGGCCTAGTGGTAGGGCTAGTGGTAGGACTTGTAGTTGGGCTAGTGGTAGGACTTGTAGTGGGGCTAGTGGTAGGACTTGTAGTGGGGCTAGTAGTAGGACTTGTAGCGGGGCTAGTGGTTGGACTTGTAGTGGGGCTAGTGATTTGACTTGTAGTGGGGCTAGTGGTTGGACTTGTAGTGGGGCTAGTGGTAGGACTTGTAGTGGGGCTAGTGGTAGGACTTGTAGCGGGGCTAGTGGTTGGACTTGTAGTAGGGCTGGTGGTTGGACTTGTAGTAGGGCTAGTGGTTGGACTGGTAGTTGGGCTTGTAGTGGGGCTGGTGGTAGGACTAGTAGTTGAACTTGTAGTGGGGCTCGTAGTAGGACTGGTAGCTGGACTTGTAGTGGGGCTCGTAGTAGGACTGGTAGTTGGACTGGTAGTTTGACTTGTAGTGGGACTGGTGGTAGGACTGGTAGTTGGACTTGTAGTGGGGCTTGTGGTTGGACTTGTAGTGGGGCTCGTGGTAGGACTGGTAGTTGGACTTGTAGTGGGGCTGGTGGTAGGACTGGTAGTTGGACTTGTAGTGGGGCTGGTGGTAGGACTAGTAGTTGGACTTGCAGTGTGGCTGGTGGTAGGACTTGTAGTTGGACTTGTAGTGGGACTCGTGGTAGGACCAGTAGTTGGACTTGTAGTGTGGCTGGTGGTAGGACTAGTAGTTGGACTAGTAGTTGGACTTGTAGTGGGACTCGTGGTAGGACTAGTAGTTGGACTTGTAGTGTGGCTCGTGGTAGGACTAGTAGTTGGACTTGTAGTGGGACTCGTGGTAGGACTAGTAGTTGGACTTGTAGTGTGGTTGGTGGTAGGACTAGTAGTTGGACTTGTAGTGGGGTTCGTAGTATGACTAGTATTTGGACTTGTAGCGGGGCTCGTAGTAGGACTGGTAGTTGGACTTGTAATGATACTAGTGGTAGGAATAGTAGTTGGACTAGTGGGGCTCGTAGTAGAACTGGTAGTTGGACTTGTGGTAGGACTAGTAGTTGGACTTGTAGTGGGGTTCGTGGTAGGACTGGTAGTTGGACTGGTAGTGGGGCTCGTAGTAGGGCTGGTAGTTGGACTTGTAGTGTGGCTCGTGGTAGGACTGGTAGTTGGAC